CGGGTTTCACTGAATCTCCTGAGATAAGATTGTTAGGGGGATTTTCATTTCTTATTAAATTGCATGAAGAAGATAACTCTGATTTAGTACCGGTATTTCGTATAGACGCTAACACACACACACATACACACACTCGAGCAAAAGTAGCAGGACCAATATGAAGGATAATTAACTTAACCATTTTATATTTATTTATCTAGGTTTTTAATTTTATTTTGGCTTAATTGAGTCTATATAAGAGGTAAGATAAATTGTTGAGGGGAGTTTCATTTCGTATGAAAGTGAATAAGAAAGAGCTTCGTTGTTCGATCTCTCCAGATGAGGACGGATAAATCTCGTTATGATGCAGCCGTTTGGCTTTTATACGATATTCATGTTGACGCATTCCACGAGACAGTCTGGGAATGCACCAAGTCAATGATCCGATACTGGAAATCACGAATGCTATAGCAGAGGACTCAGGACTAGGTTGGTTCCATAAGTTCTTTCTGACGCTCCGACCAAGTTGTGAAAACGAGGTCAAACCAACACTCGACAACTAGAGGAGACTGCGACCCGACAGAAGGCCACACCATCTTGGTCTTCATATCTACGAGGAAAAAGTGTGGTTGATGAACAAGTAATTCGACTCTACTTGAAACAGAACCCTGCTTCGGAGGCGAGCGATGCCAGTTCACTAATTGGGTCGTTAAGACCTCAATTCTTCGGTTTCGAGGGGCCTTCCTTTCTGAAAAACCCTTGCATTCTTTAGACGTCGGACTCGCATTGGCCAGTCCGAACGGAAGTTGGGAAAACACAATCCTTCCAGGCGTCTGGAGGTCTGATTGGTGGGACAGAGTCAGGTCGTCCAGTGCGTACCTTTGCGACTAGAGGCCCAATTTGAGCCCACTTGGCGGACGCAAGTGCTTCGGACGACTCTGCCTCTTCGACAACACACACCCACTCTGTCGAACACGTGAGATACGACCATTGGAGACCAGCAAAAATGTTGCTCTACTAAGTTCGTTTAGCTACCATTTGTGGCATTAAGGCCTAAATATTTGCATACATCAAAATAACTTTAGATATGATTATTTGCTATTTTTCCCTGTGCTTGGCCAGGCGAAGGCTTCTCATGTGATCGGTGCGGAAAGATGTTTGCATACAAGTATTATCGTGACAAGCATCTCAAATATACCCGATGCGTGGACCAGGGAAACCGGAAATTTCCCTGCAAACTGTGCAGCAGGTAGGCGACAAGCAAAATGTGCATATTAATTTATTTGTTATTTTCGTGAATAGATTATACTACTTATGAGTAAGCAAATTATGTCTTACCAATTGCCTGTTTACATCGATGCCTTGCAGAATGTAAGAATAAAAGATGGACTTGTAGGAACGTCTTGGTTTACAATTGTTGAATAAAAGTTATCACCCATTCCTTTGGAAGCCAATGTAGGTTTTTGTAGAAAGAAGGACGCATATTCAAGTCCCACCAGAGGCAAGAAGGAGAAGAAAAATTTTTATCATTTATTGGCATGGCAACCAAGCGTTAAAGCTGTTTTGACGGGCTCTGCTGTGATCCTTTTCTTACCATTTGATTCGGACTTGCCCTGCACACAGAAAGGCTTCATCTCCCCCCTCTTTGAGGAGCCTGTATCTGAAAGCGGGCCTGAGTAATCTGCACAAAATTTAGCATAGCAACCGCATCAGATAGTGGAAATCTGCTGTTGTCTGAAACTTTGGTTGTCGCAGTGATTGGAGGCTCGTTTGAAGGCGATCCAGAATGAGATCCAAAGGCGAGAATGGCAGCCAACCTCCTGTTTTCGCAGCCCATCAAACTGACTATTTGGATTCCAGTGAAGACGGGTATAGGATTTTGCATGTTTTGCCACTTTTGAAGATTACATCAAGGCAGGCTTTGATACTTGCCGAAGCGAGCGAGGATAACTTGCACGGCAACAACAAAGAGAAATGAGTAAAAAGAGATTTTGAGTGGTTTGATTAATTATTTTTATTTTTATTTGAATACTTGAAAGTTTGCGTCTTCGTGTGTGTGTGTGTGTGTGTGTGTGTGTGTGTGTGTGTGTGTGTGTGTG